GGACTGAGGCTTCTGACCCTATCTGGTGGGCCTGGTTCTTAGGCCTATCCTGCTGTCTGGAGGGGGTACGGGAGTGCTGGGTGGAGGCTGTCATGGTTTGGGAATCTTCCTACCCCCAGCCAGGGTGAAAGTGGCTGTGTTGTCTGTGGGGTGGAAGGGAGATTGGAGACCGCTTTGCCTTGTGCCTTCTCTCTGCACCCTAACATGAGGCCAGGTTCTGGGGACATCAGGTCCTGGGGGGGGATGCTTATATGAACCCACTCTTCACCCTTCGCTATTTTCATGTCCTTGAGGACAAAGACCCCAGACATGGAGACATGGTGGGATGTATTTTTCAGCAGGGAAAAGGTCTCCATCCTCAGGGTGGATTCTGTACAGTTAGTGGGCACACGGTACTGTAAGACAGGTCTCTGGCTCCCCCCCACCTCGTATCCTGTGGGGCTGTCAGATGGCACAGGGGCAGAAGTGACAGAAAGAGCAGGAGATGCACACACAATGGGCACCATAGTAAAGGTGGCAGGTGTTTGGGATTAGAGGAGAGAGAAACAAAGACAGACCAGGGACCCCAAACCAACACAACCTGGCCTCCCATCAGCCTCCGCCCCAGCCATACTAACTACCCATTCAGTCACTGAAACACTTCTCTGTGGGGAGGAAGAAAGACATCAGGGCAGGCAGAGGTGCTTGTGTGGGCGTGTGTTCACGCGTGGGTGTGATCTCTGGTATACAGGACCCCTGCGCTGTCTCTTAATATTAGACCCAGCCAGGCTCAGCTACCGTGGATTTGGGGGTTCCCTAAATTCAGGACAGTTCATTTGAAAGTAAAGACATCTCCCAGTTCAGGAATGAGCAGGAAAGGGGCAGTGACCCCAGACAGTAAGGACCAAGGTATGCATAGAAGGTGGCCCAGGAGAGCAAAACGCAACATATGGAAAAGCCAAGGCCCTGAGGGTCCCCTGCTGTCCGGTCTGATCTTCCAAATGGGTTGGTGACATGGTGGAGAAGAGGGACTCAAGGCATCTCACCCTGCTCCAACAGCTTGGCCTGAGGCTCCTGTGAGGGCCAGGATCTGGGCTCAACAGGCTCAGAACAGCACCTTGTCCTTCCCTGGCCAGAATGTCCACTGTCAGCCACTCCAATCTTCTCTGACCTTTACAAGAAACAAGAAGAGGCACAGGGCCTGTGGGGGTGGAACGTGCTTCTCTGTTCTCCCCTTCCTTTCTTGCCCTTTCCTACCTGCCCCTCCTCTCTTTTCCAGAGTATTTCTATGTAATACAGGCTGACCTTAACTGATTGTGTCACCTCGGCTGGCCATGAGCCCCATGGGATCCTCCTTCCTCAGCCTCTGGAGTGCTGGGATCACAGACTTATGCCACCAAGCCCAACCCTCCGCAGGTACCAGGAAGAGGCATTGCCACTTTGATGCTACCCAGGGCTCACAGGGTCCAAGATGTCAGCTTGTCAAGACTCCAGCTGAGCCCCACAGACAGGGTCAGTCACAAGAAAGGAAGAGGCACAGTGAGCGCTCAGAAGGAGCTCTTGTCCCTTCCAGTTTATGGAACTCTGGGAATGTCTCTCTTACAGGGTGTCCCCTTCCCCTCCATCGACCTTGCACAGTGCCGACGGGGTAGAGAGAAAGAGCAGGCAAATTGCTGTGCCTTTTCAAAGGTGTCGCTGGCACTGGCTCACCCTTCCTGAATTTAACACATGTGGATCAGTAATTATTAATCAGTAAATATTTCCCCCAAGCTGGCTTACTCAGCTGTCCTCTTCCTCCAACACCTGGAGCCCAGCAGCTACCCTGAAGCCATGGCACTGGATCTCCTGTGGCTGGGGGGCTTACGATCATTGTCAGCGTGAAGTCCTTGAGTGTACAGGCCCTCCAGCAGGGTGTGCGGGCCCCCACAAGGATGACTTCCAGGCCATGCCAGATGGGGACAACTTCAGGGTCTCCACATTATCAAGAAAACTTAACTTTGGAAAATATACTAACGGCTTTCCCAGGGCAACCCCATTCCTGTCAACCCAGGACTAACTCCTCACCTAGGGTCCCTCCTGGCCCTGGAGGGCACAGATGCTGTCATATTCTCAATGTAACCTTTTGTCCCGGCCCTGCAGCCCAGAGGGCGGGAAGGCTCTGGGGAGGTCACCAGCCCCAGGTCCAGGGGAAGTGATACACTAGGGCAGGCAGAAAACACAGTGTGGAATGGAAATCAAAAGAAGATGAACATGCACAGCACTGCCTAGGAGCTGAGAGATGATCACAGCTTCATTGCCACCACCAGCACGTTCAGGTGAAGTCCCCACTTCCCAGCTTTGAGGCCCAAACACTCAGAGGAGCCAATTCCTGGGCCTTGAATTCAGGGAACTCTCAGATGCTCTGCAACTGAACTGGGCTGGGCTTCAGGCAAACATGGGTAGTGCTGGAGTCCTGGCAGCCAGAGATACAATATATGCATGCATACACACACACACACACACACACACACACACACACACACACACACACACACACACCTGGACTGATGTTCTTTTTTGCCCCACAGAGAAATGCATCAGTGACTGAACAAGCCGTAAGTATGGTTGAGTGGGGGCTAAAAGGAGCCCAGGAAAGGGAGGCCTGGGGGTCTTGGGCCTGGGTTGCTTTTTCTGCTCTCATCCTGAAACCCAGCCATCTTTGTGCATTGTCCCCTCTGAGGTGCATCCTGTCTCCAACCGCTGTTCTTCCTGTCATTGGGCTTCCCCATGGACCACAAACCAATGACAGAGCTGCGAGACCCTCCTTACAGTGCAGCACTGTCAACCCAGGAGCCTCAAACGCCACTCTGCTTATACAGCCACCTTGCATGCTAAATAAACTCATGCTGCAGGCCTCCATGTCTGTGCTCACCACACCCTTAATCCCAGCATCACACACCCATGATCCAGCCACTTCCCAAAAGTCCCACCTGTGAGTGCATGAAGCTTTAAGGAGACATCTAGAAGTAAGCCATAACACTTCCCATCCTATGTACTGGCAAGGAAAGGGGGAAATCACATGTCCCCTCACCTGTAAGCCTCGCTTGGATGACACCTGCAGCTGGGATCCTACCCAGGGGTTCAGTTGAGAATTAGGCTATGACCCGGGGAATTAGGCCCATGGTTCACTTCCTGGGACTCCTGTAGCTATAGTGGCCAGGAGGCCCCATGGCTGCAATAATGAGCTTATCTCCCATTGGATGCTGAGAGGGTCAGCCATCCTCAGTGGAGGGCCAGTGTTGGGCGCAGGCGCTCAACATACCATACCCCACCCGGGACTAAGGACCACGCCAGCTTCCGCAATGCGCTACGTCCCTCTTTAAATTAGCCAACCCGTGCGCACTTCGTGCTCACTCCGTACTCTGTGGCAACTCCTGATTGGCCACAGCTGGATATGGTAGCCAGAGCCTGCATCCCATTCCCGCCCTGCTTCCTTGTGGCAGCCTGTGATTGGTCACGGCCAAATATATAAACCAGAGCCTGCGTAAATAAACTAGCAGTTAACTGTCGTCCACAAAAGCGTCTCCTGTCTCCTGTTTCATTGGGGCTGCGTCGGTCAGGTCAGGCCACAGTGTATGTCCCAGGTGGTGAAAGGAAGGTAGAGACAAGGGTGAGGGTTAAGACTAGCTCCCCAGCCTTAATGGGACTTCTGTCTGACAATCTCTGTCAGTCGCCAAGTTCAGCATGAGGTATGGCCCTGTGAGCAGTTCTGTTGTTCGGGTTGCTCTTAGGGAGCTCTGGACCTGGCCCAGATTTGCGACAAGGAGCACCCAGTCAAAGCATCGGTGAGTATAGCAACACTCTGCCCAGCCAGGACCCAGGGCAGCCATGGCAGTGATAATGCCGGGGAGCCTGGAGTTGTCCTTTCTTTGCACCCTAGCAGCAGACTGTCAGGCTGGGTTCTGGAGACAGCAGAACCTGTGAATGATGTTGCCCCACTTTGCCCTTCCCCACCTTACAACCCATTACTCAAGGAGCAGGCTCAGATGCCTGTGTTTAAGTAGCAGGCAAGTCTGAGAAGCTAATGACAGAGACTCATTCCTCACTCACCTGGCAGCAACTGGACCCTATCACACGATGGCCCGACTTAGTTAAATCTCAGGAGGAAACCCATTACCAGTCCCTCTGCCAATACTTGGAAAAGTTATCTTTTTATCCTGGCCAGGATGACTCTTGTTTTCTGTCCGGTGCCCATTCTGTCTCACTGCCCTCAGTCTCTGCAGAGACTTTCAAGCTGTGGACAGCACTGGGCACAACCCTACCTGATGACCAGGGTACAAGGATGACAGGGCCAAGACACCATCTGTGTCTGGAGCCCTAGGCCCAAGTTTGAGCAAAGCTGAGGCTCAGTATGGGAGAGGGGTGCCTGGGCTGGGAGACCCCCATTCCTGCCCATCTCTCAGCCCCAATCACTGATGGTACCAATTCCATCCTCTCCACCAGTCCTGCCCCAATCTCATCCTTCATCTTGCTGCTTCCCAGGCTCCTCCTGACCTTGCCTTGATTCTAGTCCAGCTGACCTTTAAGGACCAATCCAGTGGGCACAGCCTCCTTCCCCTAGGGCCAGGTGAAGGACAGGAAGCTCCGTCAGGTTTGGCTGCTGCTGTGGTTTGCATGTGTGGGTCCCCTCCATAGCCAACAGCTGGAACCTAACACCCCAGGTGACAGTATGGTGGGGGGGCTTTTAGAAAATAGTTATATCAGCCCTCATGAATGGGCATGTAAAGCCCAGGGCTGGAACTAGAAGTGTCCCGTCAAGGCAGGAGTGAGTATGACATTGTTCAACCCAGGACTGATACAGGGCAACCTGTGTGGTAACAAGGGTGACAGAGGAGCCTGGAGTCCTCTTTGCCTTGTGTCTTCTCCAGGCACCCTGACATCAGAGTGGGTTCCGGGGACAGCAGAATCTGGGATGATGCTGGTGTAAGTGGCCCTTTGTCCTTCCTTTTCATGGCCCAGTGGACAAGGAATGCAAACTCAGAGACGGGATATCTGTTTATTTAGCAAAGAGGGTTCCATCAGTAGGGTGGATTTAGGGGTAGCTGGGTGGCAGCATTGCACTGGTAGGAAGGTATTCCAGCTCTGTCATGGCACTGTGGTGGGTGGAGTAGCCACATGACACCTTAAGCAGAGTAACAGAAAGAAGGGGGTGTGTAGAGACAAGAGGCACCTAAGAGGGGACAGCAGAGTAAAGGTGACTGGGGTTTGTAGCCAGGGAAAAGGAGGAACAGAGGCAGCCCAGAGACCTGCAGCCTCCCATCAGCTCCCTGCCCTCCCATCAGCCCCCTGCACAGCCATACTCACTGCCAGTTCAGTCATCGATGCACTTGTCTGTGGGGAGAAAGAACCTCAGGGCAGGCAAGGCCAGGGGTGAGAACAGAATATCTGGCTGCCTCAGACCCAACCTGGCCCAGCTGCAGAGGATCTGGGTTCCCTTAAATCAGGCCGGGTCATTTGAAAGTAGTGACATCTCTCAGGTGTGGAATGAGCCAGCACCAGCGAAAGGGAAGGTGACCCAAGCCACTGAGAGGCTTGGGCCTAAAAACTGCCATCTGGGGAGCCTTGGCTAAACTATCAGGGGCACCACTTGGGGCCAGCATCCCTGGGGACCCACCAACTCCAGGCTGGGAGCCACTACCTCTCTAGTGACGGGAACAGGGGACTGAGTCTCTCTGTCCCCTTTGCCTGTTGAGGGCTGGGCAGACCCTACGTCCCCTTCCCTTCTTCCCCTCTGGTCATTACCGATGGGCTTCAAGAAGATGATGTTGTCATCGCTGAGACTTAGGGACTTGGCAAAGCTGACAAAGCGCTGCCTCAATTCCAGGCTCAGCTCCTTGGTTCTGCCTGTGGCCACGTGGCAGCGAAGGGCCAACAGAGAAACACCCATGATTTTATTATTTTGAAGATTTTTAAGACCAGGTCTTGCTATGTAGTTCAAGATGGCCTTAAATTCCCAATCCTCCTGACTCAGCCTCCCCAGGTATGGGATGACAGTTTTGTCCCACCATGGGTGGGTGGTTCACCCCATAAATATTGTCAAATGAGTGGAGCTCAAACTAGGAAACACTGTGGGATCTTTGGGGATATGGATCCCCTGCCCTATATGGGACTAGGAGCCAGGTTGCTGCGGGGACAGAGTGATGACCTACCATAGAGGACGGTCTTGAAGTAAACTCCTTCTTTGAGTACCTTCTTGAAAAAGACCATGGCAAACTGATTGTAGTCGGTGGCTGTCACTCTAACAGTGTAGCTCAGTATTTTAGATGGCCTGCAACACACAGGATAAGGGTCACCCCTACTCCGGCGCAAGGAAAGGCCAGTCCCTTCCCTCTATGACTGGTCAGCAGAAGCTTCTCCCCATAGGACAGCATCTATGTGGAGGTCAGGGAGATCTGTGCCCTTCCAGAAGGACTCAGCACCCCCAATTCTAACCCCAAAGCCGCCTACTCAGGACTCACGCTACCTATCGCCCAGGATGAACTGGCCAGCCTGGCCACTGGGGACAAATGTTCTGTTCCAGTACTGGCAGACCTCGCCCCTGTGGGAGAGAGAGACATTGGGAGATGAACACAGAGATCACACAGACTTGGTTCCCAGGGTTGGATGAAGTGGGGTCAGGCCTCCTGCTGGATTGTGAGAACCCTGGCTTGCCCAGCCCATGACAGCCCATTCCCCCCACACCCCTCTCTACAGCCCTGGACCTTCTCCACTGAGCCTCTGCCTGGTCTGCTGTGAGTGTCACTCAACCTGACTCGCAGCACTGGCTGCCTCCTCTGCTGCCTCCCCCCTCTGCAGCCTGGCCCCCACACACACCCCGGGCCCTGCTCTGCTCTTATCTCATTCTCCCAGCCATTTCCTCTGAGCCTCCAGTCTGCTCTATGCCAAGCTCTGCCCTAGCCCTTGGGCCACACCTGACCTCTCCCATGAATCCACCCTACCCCTGCGCCCAGAGCGGAACCCCTCCATTGTCAAATCCTCCAACCCCAATGCACCCAGTGGTCAGATCCGGATTGCTGCAGCGGGAGGGACCCAGGCTCATCCCTCTGAGGCTTGAGCCTCGTGCCCCCACCCATGTGACCTCCCATCCAGCCTTGCCTTGCAGTCCTCCCCACCTCTCCTGCTGCAGGATCTCCCTAAGTTTCCCAGGTTGGCTTCTGCTTTGCACCTCCTATCTCAGCCCCGGGAGCTGAGCCTGCTGAGATTTTAGTCAGGCACCAGCACCAGAGGACTTGAGAGGCTAGTTCCCTTAAGATCCCTTCCCCTCAAGCCCTAGCGGGATGCCTCGGTGGGATCCCAGCCTCGTTCCAGTGACCTTCTCATCTTCTGTCTTGTTTCCTACTGACTGTGTGCATTGGTGCTGGAGCCACCCATGAGTACTGATGCCAGCGAGGGAAGAAGGGAGAAGGATGAGGAGGAGGGGAGAGGAAGAGCAGGGTGGAGGGAGGGAGGAATGTCAGCATCCCTCAGCCTGCATCACCCCTTGGCTGTGACATTGTTCTGCCTCTGAGACCCGCAGGAGGTGGTGGCTGCACCTGAACAGGATGGCGGTGACGCTGTAGCTGCCGTCATCTTTCAGCCCGTAGGTATCCGTGTACATGGTACCACTTTCATTTCCTTTATGAAATTTGTTCCCTGCCACACTTACGGCGTACCACTTCCCCTGGAACTGTAAGAGGCCACGGCAGACAGGGCCCAGGGATGGCCCCAGCACCACCCCTCCCTCGCTGTCCCTGGGAAGCAGAGTCCAGAGATGGGGCTTCCCTGAGCAGCCAATAGATGAGTCTTCCAGGGCCAAGAGGGACCCTGGGTGAGGAGTCAGCCCTGAATTCAGGGGTGGGGTGCCCCCAGGCAAGTGGCTGCTGGGCCTTCCTGAGCCTCGGTTTTCTTGTAGAAGGACTGAAGATGTCCCCACCTGGCACGCACTGGACCTGGACTCTTTGTGCCCCGCTCCTACCAACCCACACCACTGCTGAATTATATTCCTCTTCTCCCCTCGCTGCCCTCCTCTCCCATTGTCTCCATCCCCAAGGCCCTCCCTGAAGCTTCCCTTCTAAACTCTCACCTTGTCTTGCCGGAAGTCTGGCTGCAGGGGGATCTTGCTCAGTGGTGGGACCAGGGCCTGGATCTGCAGGGTCCCCAGCAGGGCGAGGCCCAGGCACAGGAGACCCAGGGCCATGGCTCAGGATAGCTGCTGGGCTGGCAGGTGTTGGAGGAGGAAGAGGAAGGCTGAGAAGCCCAACCTGGGAGCACTATTTATGGTCCCTGCTGCCTCTCCCCTCCGGTAGGCTGATTCATCCTTTGCTAAATCCAGGAAGAGTGAAGCAATTGCCAGCAACTTATTTGGAAACAGTTGGCAATGTTTCAACCCCTTCTCCCTCCAGGTCAGGATTAGGCAAAGTAGAGGGAGGTGAAAGTACCCGGGGGGGGGGGGGCCCCGGAGGGGCATTCCCAGAGCCCCACAGTTGGCAGGGGCAAGGCTCCCACTAAGTGCTCTGTGCCTCTTCCCCTCATCTGATTGACCCCTTCTGCAGTCAGCAGCTCAGGTCTGGGAAAGCTGCTGTCCCTCACAATGTGAGTCCAGAGTGGGGCAGCACGGTGAGGTCACTCCCCTGTACTTGCAGAAAGCAAGAACTGTTCCACACCTGCTTCCTGGTTCTGGCAAAGGTCAGGAAAGAGCAGCCAGCGGATTTTCCGGAAAGCAAGGGACAAGGTGTCTGCTCTGAGCCTGCTGACCCCAAGCCCTGGAGCAGGCTGGGATGCTGGGAGCCCTTCTCCTCCTTCACGACTGACCCCATCTGTAGAAGCAGATAGGCCACCAGGGATGGGGCCTCAGGAATGGGGCCTCTCCCTTGAGGTTCAGGCAGAGACCTGGACCAGGTACTAAGGCCCATAGATACAGCCGTCTGGCAGAGGCAAGTGCTCAGGCTGCAGAGGCAGCTCCCTGCAGAGCCCCGGCAGGGGGACCACGGGGAGCAGGCACCTACCCTGGGCAAGATGGGCAGCGCTCTTCTTGTTTGGTCACAGAGCACCCGGATTTACCCTTGCTCTTCAGAGATCATTCAGACCAAGCCTCTGTCTCTGGCCCTGGAGCCCAGTGGTTCTAGCTTGGGGTCTATGGACTGTTTCTGAGATTACCAACCCCAGACCTGTCTCTGAAAGAGGCTGAGGTCCCCGCTAGGGATCTGGCCAGCTTCCTGAGGAGAGAGCAACAGACCCAAGGTCCTGTGCAGTGTCCCCCTGAGATGGCTTACCTGTGAGGGTGGCAAGTATGCCAGATGCCTGACCTAAGGCTGGACTGAGGACTTGCTGACTTTATAGGGGACTAAAATGACCCCATTGGCTCTGCCTGCCAGCTGCTCAGGACCCAAGCTGGTATCTGGGGTGGTGGACCCTAAGGGAAGAGTTACTAGAGGGCTCCTGAGCTGGTGCAGCCTCAGCTCCACCCCAACACACCCAATAGCCCTCCACTGCACCCCACTACCTGGGCTGGATGATGAAAAAGCAGGAAGAGAAACTGAGCAAAGCTGTGGCCACCAGAATCCACCACCCTCACAGTCACCCTGTTGCCCACATCTCTCAGCCCTAGGGGCTCCACCTCCACTACTCTCTATGACCTTAAAAGGTATTCTCAGCCAGGCCAGAGTGTCATAAATCTGTCATCCCTAAATTCTAGGAGGCTGAGGCAGGAGGTTTGCAAGTTTGAACTTAACCTGGAAAACTTAATGAGACCCTGTCTCAACATGAAAAAGTAAAAAAGGTCTGAGAATATAGCTCAGTGCGAAAGGCCTCGGTTGCATCTCCAGTTTGGGGTGAGAAGTGGGGGACAGGAAAGGAAGGGAAGGAAGTTGGGGGAGAGGAAGAGGAAGAGAGAGGAGAAAGAAAGGAAAAGAAACTCAAACCCCATCTGTATATGGCCTCCCAGACCAGCAGAGAAGCTCACCTTGCAGCAGGGAGAGGTGGGCGGAGGAGGTGGGGAGCGGAGATCTGCACAGGCTTCACTCTGTCTGCACTGACCCAGGCCTGCCCCAAACCCACTGGCCTGAGAAAGGTGGGAAGGCCTCACACCCTTCCCTGAATCCAAACCCAGCAGGCTGGAGGCTGGGGCGCTGTCAGGCCCCTCTCCCTAGCTCCCCTCCCTCCACCTCATTGCCCAGACGACTGGGACTCTTTGCTTCAGTGTCCTCCTGGCTGCCTAGCAGCCCCTCTCTTCTCCACTCCACTCCACATGGGTATATCTAGACCATCCGCTAGGCTTCCAGAAGATTCCCTGATCTCAGCAAGGCGTCCTCATTGGATCAGACCCATGATACCTGAGGCTCTCTTGGTGCCCTGTGCCAATCACAGGCCCACAGCTGCTTTATAAGCTGCACACCCCTGCCACTTCTCCTCTTAGTCTAAGAGGGCTCCCTCCAAGGTATGGAGCGCCCTGCCCTGCCCAGTGCTGTTTCACAGGCCCCCAATCAAATAAACTCTGACTCCAGTGGTCCTGGAAACCTGTCCATCATTTATTTCTTGGATAATGGGTGCCCCAAATGTTTTGTAAATCTGCTCAGGATCCACACCCTCAGTGGTGTGCAGGGTGTTTGGTTCAGAAGAAAATTCCTGTTGAGAACCGTAAGAGACCAGGAACAGAAGACCAGCTGCATTTGCCATTCTCTTAGGAATTCAGCAAAAGTACCCTGGGCTCACTGCATAGACCCCTGGTGTAGACATCACAAGTTCCAAGGTAGACAGGACACTGACGACCCCAGCCCCTGCCCACTCCTTTGGCAATGGGCCCCTGCCCAAGGAGGAAACTCACAGTCCATGCTGCCTAGGACTTGGCACTTAGAAGGTCTACACTGCACGCATGGTATCACACACTTGTTGCTATGCCAGTCATTTGCCCTTCCCTCCCCTACCAAGGTTTCCATGGTGACCCTGATCACCCCACAAGGCCACCCCCACCCGCTCTGGAACTGTCACCTTAGAAACTGCAGACCCAGTGAGCCTTCCGCAAGTCACCCAGCAGCTTTGGGGCTAAGCTCCTGGGAGAAGTCAGGGCTGCACGCACACCCCCCAGTCCTGCTCTGGGTCTGCTTAACAGCCACAGATAGAGCAGATCCACACCTGAGTTTCCCGTGGCCGGAAGCCGGAACTCTGGCTGCTCTGCAGCCAGCCCAAAAGAAGGTCCCTATTGGGAGACCAAGATGACCTGACTTCCCAGGGACAGACCTGGCCCCAGCCCAGTCTAATTAAGCCCTACGGGCAGGGAGAGACTCCCTGGCTTTCATTTCCTGCATCTCAAGAATTCCTTCTGATCTGTGGTCTGGTTTCCAGAAGCCCAGCATGGGATCAGTGTCCAGCCCCACCAAGAGTGCTGGAACAGCCTTCTCCCCTATGTAGAGGGCAGCATGGCACTGACCAGGCTTCCCAGAGCCAACACCATGCCTGTCTCATAGTCTCTACCTCCATCCCTGAGTGTCCCTCTTGTCCTGGGCCACCTCATCCTTATAGCGCCGGCCCCCCTGCACCATGCTGCCTCCTCCCATGCTGCTGAGTTCTCTTGATTCAGGCCACTTCCTCCCCTCTCCCTGCAGCCCCATCTTAGGTCACTTCCTCCCCACACACACAGGTCCCCTATCAGCCACATGCTTGGTCTCTTGAGGGCAGCTTTCTTCACAGTGCTTTTCCCCTGTCAACATCCCCTGCAATCTGGGTCACCTGAGAATGTCCCAAAGCCATCAGATTACTAAAACCAATTGCCACACACAGGTCGGTCACCTTCCTAAGGTCAGAAGCCCAAAATCTGAACTTCAGTGTGTGCTGGAATCAAAGTATGGATCAGAGCTTGTTCTTGTGATAACTCAGACCCCGGAATAAAATCCAAGGAAGCAAGAAATTAAAATTTAGTGAGCAAAGGCTTTATTTTAGGCCAGACCTGGCGACACAGCCTCCAGGAGCCAATTTGGAGATTGTGCGCCTGACAGGTAAATGGCAGGGCTTTTATCTTGTAAAACCACAAACAGCTGCTGGTCTCACAATGCAAGGAGGGGGATGGGGTGTAGCACACTACAGAACAGGAACACAGCAATTACATTGGGAAGAGCAAGGTTGTGAGTTTGATCCCTGGCACACACAAAAGAAATCTAGCCGTAATTAACAACCACTGTTAGCTTATTTTAGCACCACATCTGTTATTTGTAGAGGGCAGCAATGGTTAACATATCAATTAGGGAAGATTTTACAATTCTTTTCAGAGGAGAGCATTGATTAACATATCAATTAGGTCACCCAGAGGGGGAAGAAAAACATACAGTAAGGCCATGTCACAGGTATTTTGGTATGATACAAATATAATGAAGCTATTTTTTCTAGAGTACAAGTTCTCCCCAGTTCCGTGGGCCCTCTGACTTCACTCGGCTTACTCTCCCTCTGTGTTTAATCTCCCTCCCTCTGCCTCACAGGATACATGAGGTGACACTGAAGTCCCAGCAGGATAACCCAGAATAATCTCAACTCAAATTCTTCATTTATTTAGAAAGAATAATAAGAAGGGAAAAAAGAAAGATACATAGAAACAGATAAAAAGGAGACTGGTTTAACATATCTGTCTCCTTAAATAGTATGGTTGGAGCTGGGGATATAGCTCAGTCTCACAATGCCTGACAAGCACAAGGTCCTGAGTTCAATTCTCAGAACAAAAGTTTAAAAATCTCAAAGTGTATGATTGACATGTGCTATTCCAGCACTGGGGAAACTTGAGGCAGGAAGCCTGTGACTCTGAGGCTAGCCTGAGCTGTATCATGAGATCTCATCTTTAACAAAACAAAATAATGAAAAAAAGAAAACAAAATAAAACCTCTTTTTTTATTTAAAATTTTTATTTTAATTAGTACATTTGCAGTACATGAGTACATTCATCATGGGGAACTGGTGTAGTCAGGGGGTGCAGGGAGAACAATTGTGGAAAGGACACAGAATTTATAATGGGCACCCAAACTTAACTACCAGACTAAATACCAGAAAGTACAGGAAATCTGTCCACAACACTAAAGACCTAGAAAATCCAGCCGAGGGCCTGGATCCCACAGCAATGTCCTGCATGAGTCCAGCCGAAGACCTAGAGCCCATGACAATGAATCCCATGAGTCCAGCTAGAGGCCTAGAGCTCACAACACTGACCCATGCAAGTCCGTTTCATGGACCCGCACTGGGAAGGCCCAAAGGTCAGCAGTAGAAACTAGAAAGCCTGTGCCAGTGGGATGAGGTGCTGTGCCAGCCAGTGGAGGGTTCTACACTGGAGCCAAGAAGTGACACTGAAAATAAGGACCAGAGCTCCCCTGAAAAACACTACAGCCATTCTCAGCGACGAGGGCCTGAGCTCCTCCGACAATAAGAACAATCGAGTACATATCAGGAAGCCAGCATGACAAGCTTCTCCTGGCGATTAAATAGCACACATCTTCCCCTCTGGAGCCAGGAATCGATGCTCAATGTAAGGCACAGAGATCCCCCAAAGTGAACTACAGCCACTCCCAGGGAAAGGTCCCGAGCTCCTCCAATGAGAATGACTGAATCCATATCAGGGAAACCAGCATGACAAGCTTCTCCAGGAGAACCAAAGGCCTCAAAACAGCAACACCTAGGAGAACCCACAATGCCCTGTTCTTCCTTTCCACACCTCCTTTTATGCTTCTGTCCTCAGGTGGGCCATCTGTACTCAGCACCATGCTGATTTAATTCAGCTGGTGTTAAGTTGGCACTAGTTTTTAATGCGTAACAGTGGATACACATACATGACACATCCTAATCTTTTTTACGTTCCTCTCCCCTACATTCACCTTTTCTAGTATAAAATACAGTCCTTTCTCTGTTCCAAGGTCCCATCCAAGATACCACATCACATGTAGTCACTGTATTGGCCTGGGTTTTGTTTTGGTGACACAGTACCCAAGGCAGGGTACTTTAAGAGGAGTTTATGGTTCTGGAGATACAAGGCTGAGGGGCTGCCTCTGGTGGTGGTGCTCTTTGATGGCAATGCAACCATCCATGGCAAAAGAAAGGGGCACATATGTATGTGTACATCTGTCTGGTCTTTTCTTACAAACTCACCAGGCTTCAATTATGAGGGCTCCCCCAGAGGGGCTTATTTAGTCCTAAATCACCTCTCAAAAACCCCACCCACAAACTGCAGTCAGATTGCCCCACCCTCTTAGTATCTCACACTGGGGACTCAGTTTCCATACATGAACCTTGGGGTTCACTCACATCACACCCAAACCACAGCTCCTTCGACCATGACAGCTTCCCAGGATTCTCATGGCTTTGATGACCTTAACAGTAGGGCATTTATCTTGGCATGCAGTGCTTTTTCGTAATTCCTAGTTTTAAAGGGGAGAAAGGCCATGTTTGCACCACAGCACATTAGGGGTACACCAATACTGTGACTCCTCATTGTGGGACTGACCCTGATTGTGTACCCAAGGTGACGGTGTAGCTGTCAGGTTCCTCTAAAGCTACTTTCCCCACTTTCCTCTTCAGAAAGGCAACACCCACGTACAGGTTGTGGGCAGAGGATCTGCATGAATTATTTGGAATTTTTCTGCATGAGCAATCTGTCTCTGCTCCTCCTCAATTTACTCATATGCTCAAGCATTTACTTATATCTGTATGGAACAGTGGATATTTCTGTTAAACTTTGGGTTATAATCCATTACTATTTTCTAATTTCTTTTTTTTCAAAGCCTAACTTCAACCCCGGGGAACTCTGGAGTTTTTTCACACACACGCTTTCACTGTGGTTTGGGAGCAATTTATTTTATTCTGATACAGCTTTTAAAAACACACCAACAGATGAAGACAGCGAATCTATTCCTCGGGACCCTCCACACTCCTTTCTGGCTCTCCCACCCCCAGGCAAACACAGACCTGCTTTCCATCATCACAGATCAGCCTGTAGGGCCCACATGAATTGTAGGGAGCAGTGCGACCGCTCCAGTGCTGTCTCCCCACCTCTCCCTCCTATGGGCACATAATGCACCTGCCTACATTAACCATAATCCTCTCCTACTCACGTCACGTACACAGACAGGACGATGACCCATCAGAGATCACCCCATAGCCTCTTCCTGTCCCACGGCCCACCCCTGCCCTATAAAAGCAGCGACCACTTTATTAATAAATGAGACTTGTTCAGACTTCCTCGACTTGTCTCCGTCTCTCTGTCTCCTACCCTGTCTGTGTTAATCACCATTCCTTCCCCAGGAAACTGCCCCTGGGATCCGGATTGACCCGTGGGCCGGGTCAATGAATGAAACCACAAAACAAATACCTTCCTGCTGTTATTAGCAATACTGGAGATTGAACCCAGGGTGTTTGTAATAAACTGCGTTCTCAGTCCTTTTTGTTTTTAACTCTGAAACAGGTTCTCACTTGGCTTGAATTTACCATCTTCCTGCCTCAGTCTCCCAACATGTTGGAATTATAGGCCCGTGCCATGGAGCCCAGCACTTAGAAAACCATTCTTAAAAAACACTTGCAAGCCTTGAGTGGTGGCACACACCTGTAATCCCAGCACCTGGGAGGCTGAAACAGGAGAATCACTGTGAAACACCCTGAGAATCAGTGAGAAACACCCTGCACTGAACAGTGAGGCCCTGTGCCAAAAAAAGAAAGACAGACAGCAGCAGAGGAGGAAAGGGCAAAGGTAACCAGGCCTGTCCAGACTGACAAAGGAAAACTCAGAGTGGTGGTCACAGCACCATGGATAGGCTTGTGTCCCCAACACTGACAACTGGCTCAGACACCAACAAAGGTAGGTACAGGTATTCAGCCCAGACTGGCGTTCATGGGCTGGCACAACCTGGGCTTCTCATGGGTGAGAATGTGGGGTCCTAATTCCCTGTCCCCAGTGGTCCCCACAGCAACACAGCAGTCCTAGGCTGTCTGTTTCTGCTGCTCTAACAAGGACATCACGGACTGCTCCCTGTGTGAGTGATGGAGTTTTGTTTCTCACTGTGCTGGAGGCTGGGAAGTCCACCAACAGGTCTGGTGTCAGGCCGGTTTCAGATCCAGGAGTTGCCAAGTGAACAAAAAACAGGATCCCCGGCATCAGCCTCCTGAGCCTCTCCCTGGAATTCTCTCCTTGGATTCTAAGCTGTGTCCAGGCAACGGAAACCGATCATTATTCCCACAATGAGATGGGAAAACTGAGGTTGGAGAAAGTGACAAGAGACGGGAGAAAGTGACAGATCGAAGAGCGGGGACAGTTCAGCAACACAGCCACACGCTGTTCTGTACACAGCTCACAGCAGCGAAGCCAGGCAGCTCGGAGTGGGGACAAGGACCCGCAGTCCTGCTAAGCCAGGGTACAAGTCACTCCTCTGCTTGGTCCCTTTCAGGCACTTTTATCTCCTTAGGAGCTGAAGGAAGCGGATGAAGCAAGCCCCAGTGAGTCCCTGAAGCTACCTCAGTTTCGCCATCTGTAATCCTGCCTGGTCGCCCACTGTTCTCCAATGCTGCGGTTTCCAAGGACCTGTTCTCCGGCTCTCACCCTGCACCTCTGAGACGGCTTCAGGAAAATTCGGGGCCCCAGTGGCGAGTTGAGGGGATCACTTCAGCCTCTCCCACCCACCCCCATACCTGCCCTGACTCCCCGGAGGGCATCCCTAGAAAAGTAATAGTCATCGTGGCAGCCCACTCAGCTCACTTGCTTCCTTAAAGCCATAGTCCTCGTCTTCCATGCCCGCCTCCACCCGCGTGCCCAGCTCGCAAATGGGACCCAAGATTGCGTTGACCGGGGGCCACCGGAGCAGCAAGCTGCATCTAGCAAGGGGAGCTTTCCAGGACCAGAGGTTGCTCTGGGTCCAACCAAGGGGCAGGGCTTAAGGCCCCGCCCTCGTGACGCCCGCTAGGTCACCGGGTCTACGCCCCTTACGTTAGTCCCGCCCCTTCCGGTCGCAGGCGGGGCCTTCTCCGGGCTGTCCGCGGAGTTGCCTGGGCTGTCAAGGCTCGGGCACTCAACCAGGGCCCGCGAGAGAGCCGAAGGGCGGGGCACCCGGGACACTCACTCTGCACCATTCTGCTGGTGAGGGCTCGAAGCCGGCGAGCTGGCCGTTCCGCGTGGCCTACATCTGAGACATCTGGTTTCCAAGGTCCCTGTAGGCTTTGGGAAAGTTTATGGTTCGGGTTACAGCAGGTGTCGCACAGCGGCTCGGGAGGGCAGGAAGTCCGAGTTTCTGCCACCTGCTCGATGTGGGAGAGGAGAGGTCAGGATCCCTTCTTTGACCTCAGGCCCAGGCTTTTCCTGACATTGGACAGTCTTCCACTTCTTTCGAATGGATGCATAATGTAGAAGTGACTGATCATGTTTCACGCAGGACCACCCTCCTCAGTGTCCAACCTAGGACTAGCACGTAGCTCCTTGCACTCGGCCGGTCACCGCCGAGACCCCCTGCAGACACTCAGCAGCCGAGGCTATTGAGCCTCCTCCAGATGCCCCCGCCCCAAGTAGGCGCGCACCGGACAGCTTTCCCCGTTGGGCGTCGCCGTCGCCCCCGGGCAACACGACGGAAGTGGGGAACTGGCCCTTTAAGGGCGCCGCTGCGTCTGCGTCTGGGTTTGGCGCGCCCGCCCACGGCGCCGGCGGAGAGAACATGGCCCTGGCGGCACGGGTGGGGCGGTGGCTGTGGCCCCGTAGGTGTGCGCTAGCCGACAGACTGGGCAGCCGCCCGTGGCCACCGCTGCTCACGCCGAGCCGGGCCGGCTTCGCGGGGTTGGCGAGTAGCCGCCAGGGGCGCCCGCGGCTGCTGGGGACTGTGGCCGTGGCCCTCGGAGGCACCCTAGGACTGTATCACACCGTGCGGTGGCACCTGCGTGCCCAGGACCTCCGCGCCGAGCTCTCCGCAGCGCAGGTAAGGCCGTGCCGGGACCGGCTGGATCGGTCGGGTCGACCACGGGAATTCGCGCCGACCCCGGATCTCCTGGCTCCCACGAGGTCAGGTATTGCTTTCTCTACCCGCTGATGACCTTGAGCGAGTGACTTAGTCCTAAGTGTCTAAGCCCGCTTAGACACCTCTGGCACCTGCTCCCTAGGACTGTAATGCGTGCTTCTCATGCAGTCGTCTTGCTAGCGTGTCTTAAGGTTGTGGGCTGCAGCAGCGGCAGCTTTTATTGTTGTTTGGGGAAGGGGTTGTTTGTTTTTGGAAACAGGGTCTCACTGTGTAGTTCAGGCTGGGCTCGAACTGTGTAGCCAAGGTTGGCCTCCAACTTACATCCTCCTGCCTCAGCCTCTCCAGTGCTGAGATTGCAGGTGTGCACCACACCCAGCCGTCATAGTACTTTTGCGGGCCGGGCCGACCGATGAACTTCAGCCGGGAGGTGTGACAAAGAAGGTGTGGTCACCATGGTGGTGGCCCAGCTGCCATTGAGAGGCTTTGTAGGATTCACCATCAAGCACTTCTTTGCTCTCCTCACCCTCCCCCAAACCCTCTTTCTGGGACTCTAGAGAGTCTTGTAACTCCCTGCCTGTGTCCATGCCCAGCTTCAGTTTCCCACCTGAATAGTGGAAGAGCAGACTGCAGCTAGGGCCACAACACCTGCCTGCACCAAGCTCACCTAGCTATGGCGGTACAGCTGCCACTTGGGGAGTTGAGGTCAACTCCACTGTGGCCAGAGCTAGCCTGGTCAGTAGCTCAGCACTGCCCCTCACCCAGAGGTCCCTGGGGTTGAAGGAATAGGGCTGACTCTGGGGGCCTAGACACTGCAGCTCAAGGACACACACTGGAACTTGTCCCCTGCCCTGGGGTGTGTTAGCTGGAGCTTGCACTAGGACTGTCCACTACTCGAGCCCCACCCCCACCCCCTCCTTCCCATGTTTGCAGGGTCTTTGCCAAAGACTCCCCAGAGAAGCATGTTTGTTGGCCTGGTTCTGGGGCTTCCAGGTTTCAGCAGTCCCCTTCTTTTTCTCCCCCAGCTCTCCCTGTCCAGCCACCTGCAGCTGACCCTGTACCAGTATAAAACGTGCCCCTTCTGCAGCAAGGTCCGTGCCTTCCTCGATTTCCATGCCCTGCCCTACCAGGTGGTGGAGGTGAACCCCGTGCGCAGGGCCGAGATCAAGTTCTCCTCCTACAGGAAGGTGCCCATTCTGGTGGCCCAGGAAGGAGACAGCTCGGTGAGACTTGGGGATCCCTACCCCGTCC